TAAGAGGGACAATTAATCAGCTGCCCGCTCATAATAAGTTCACGTGCTACGTGACGCCAAACATGCGCATAGGAGTGTTTTCACACTCGTTGTTTGGCTTATAGATGGCGCTGACGGTCGCTCCTACTTCTAAATTCACAGATAAACCCAAAAAAGTGGATGGAGGGAGTGCCGCTGTAATAGCTCAGTGGTTAGAGCATCGAACGCGTAATTCGAAGGTCGTAGGTTCGATTCCGGCTTACAGTTGCTAACTTTTTCATCCACTTTTCTTTCTTCTATTTACATTCCTATAATGTTATAACTTCCCCTGTACATTCCTTGGCATTACTGTCTGTTATATCTCATTATTATTGTGTTAAAAAACACGGAAAACCGAGCCCTTAGGTATACACTTCTTTCCCTTATTTCATTGAACGAGGTCTCGTACTGGCAGACTTGGTATGTTTAGGTTGTATAAGTGGGACAATTATCAGCTGCCCGCTCATAATAAGTTCACGTGCTACGTGACGCCAACATGCGCATAAGAGTGTTTTCACACTCGTTGTTGGCTTATAGATGGCGCTGACGGTCGCTCCTACTTCTAAATTCACAGATAAACCCAAAAAAGTGGATGGAGGGAGTGCCGCTGTAATAGCTCAGTGGTTAGAGCATCGAACGCGTAATTCGAAGGTCGTAGGTTCGATTCCTGCTTACAGTTGGTAATTTTTTCATCCACTTTTCTTTCTTCTTATTTACATTCCTATAATGTTAATAACTTCCCCTGTACATTCCTTGGCATTACTGTCTGTTATATCTCATTATTATTGTGTTAAAAAACACGGAAAACCGAGCCCTTAGGTATACACTTCTTTCCCTTATTTCATTGAACGAGGGTCTCGTACTGGCAGACTTGGTGTGTTTAGGTTGTATAAGAGGGACAATTAATCAGCTGCCCGCTCATAATAAGTTCACGTGCTACGTGACGCCAAACATGCGCATAAGAGTGTTTTCACACTCGTTGTTTGGCTTATAGATGGCGCTGACGGTCGCTCCTACTTCTAAATTCACAGATAAACCCAAAAAAGTGGATGGAGGGAGTGCCGCTGTAATAGCTCAGTGGTTAGAGCATCGAACGCGTAATTCGAAGGTCGTAGGTTCGATACCTGCTTACAGTTGGTAATTTTTTCATCCACTTTTCTTTCTTCTTATTTACATTCCTATAATGTTAATAACTTCCCCTGTACATTCCTTGGCATTACTGTCTGTTATATCTCATTATTATTGTGTTAAAAAACACGGAAAACCGAGCCCTTAGGTATACACTTCTTTCCCTTATTTCATTGAACGAGGGTCTCGTACTGGCAGACTTGGTGTGTTTAGGTTGTATAAGAGGGACAATTAATCAGCTGCCCGCTCATAATAAGTTCACGTGCTACGTGACGCCAAACATGCGCATAAGAGTGTTTTCACACTCGTTGTTTGGCTTATAGATGGCGCTGACGGTCGCTCCTACTTCTAAATTCACAGATAAACCCAAAAAAGTGGATGGAGGGAGTGCCGCTGTAATAGCTCAGTGGTTAGAGCATCGAACGCGTAATTCGAAGGTCGTAGGTTCGATTCCTGCTTACAGTTGGTAATTTTTTCATCCACTTTTCTTTCTTCTTATTTACATTCCTATAATGTTAATAACTTCCCCTGTACATTCCTTGGCATTACTGTCTGTTATATCTCATTATTATTGTGTTAAAAAACACGGAAAACCGAGCCCTTAGGTATACACTTCTTTCCCTTATATATATATATATATATATATATATATATATATATATATATTGTCGCGAAGGCAATGTCTCGCGGAGACTTTTTTTTGTTTTTCTTCTACAGATCGAGTTCTTTCTTTGCCAGATGCTCTTTTTAGAGGCGCTATTTAACGACTTTTCTCGAGGAGGGAGCCTCGAGGAAGAATGAGAGCCTGAGGAGAAAAGGCTGCATTCGGTCGGTCACTGTGCGCTTCACGGCTCGAACAAGGCACTGCGCCGTGCTCCCGACCGGACTGCAAGAATTTCGGGCCGTTCTCCACTTCTAACTACTACCACCACCACCCCAAACGAGCGAGCCGCCACTTGCGCCCTCCAGGGCAATCGGGGACCAACAAAATTTGAGCACTTGTTTGCGCGTCAAGGCTCTTTTAAAGAAAGTGCCCACTTCAAGAAGCTGCTACAGTTTTGTTGCGAGGCAGTATTCACGCGACAATGAAAACTCATGTTGGAATTGGTTATCCTCGGTTTGCCTGATTGCTTCGTGTAGGCCGTTTTCCAATTGGTGCAAAACAGTGGTCTTCCGCGCGGTCCGTGCACCCATGGATGCTGGAAAACCCTATTTAAGCAGCGACTCAGGCCCTTTTTGGGGTGAGCGGACTCGGGGTCAACAGCGCATCTCACCACCGGAGACCAGTCATGCAATGCGAAGGGTATGCCATCATTTTCTATGATTTGTATTTGTAACCTAGTGCATTGTGTAAATTCAAGTTGTATTAGATAAATAAACCCCCAATGAGTGCTCACCGAAATCATCGTGTCGACTTGTCATCGCTTGCCTGTGCGGAATCGCTCCCACACTTCTTCGTCCGGATGGTCATTAGAGGTGTCTATAGCTTAAAAAACCCCGAAGTTTTGCTACAATATATATATATAATATGGACGGTGTATGACGATGGCACCAACAGCAAGGTTAAGCCGAGAGTTTCTTATAATTGCTATTGCATATAAATGTTGTGGTTGTCTGTGTGAATAACACGCCCAGAACTTTTTGGTTGGGACTTCAGCAGTGTGTTTACCTCTTCCGCAAAACAACAACGTAATAAATGGAGCCGAATCTCGAATGTTAATATTTCAAAACTTTGGCCAAGTTTCATTTAGGCCCCGTTATCAATGTCAAGAAGGCACTTCAAGGCAAAAGCTTTTGATTCCTCATCAAATGCGAACTTGACTGTCGGTGGCCCGCGACATCGGCGTCGACACTAGTTATGCAAGAATCTTAACATGATGACATAATCATGACGTGATATATGGCCAAAGTCTCACGTCATCACGATGCCCATAACGCACCATCACTTGATGACGTCATCCCATGACACCATCGCTTGGTGAAAGGGGGGCGATGACAGAGGATGTACAAAGCCGTGGGAAATGTGGAAAAATTATGAAAAAGGACACGAAAGAATCAATGCATCGGTTGAGAACAAAATGAATAACGTGGCTTTCACGTCTTAGGCGAATGCATAAGGGACCCGTTGTAGCCTTTCATAGTCATCTTGAGTACGTAAAAAAGGGTATAAACGGGAATTTTGGTATGTGAAAGGCTAACAAGCGGTATGGTTAATCAACCGTATACGGCAATCGCGCAGCGCAAGCATCTTCCTTGTCTTCATTATGAATTGTGTGCAGTGCTCATGTGCGGCGCTCCTTGGGTTAATCGCGCTGCATGGCACTGCTGCAATGTAACTGTGGTCAACACAATCTCTTTATAATAGTATTTGCCATCTGTAGCCCGTCTTCCACTCAATGGTGGCTGATATGTGCAAACACTGCACGCAACTCGCTACTCACACGGAGTAGTTGCTACTTAATTCTTGGAAACCCCACATCACCATCACGCCCCATTTTTTTCTCGATCGGCTGCGATCTGTGAATTTGACCCAGCATCTTATTACCATTAAATAGAAGTTCACATCCATATGTAAACGACTCGTGAGGAGTGTTTTTTTTTTTGCGAATCTAATCACCAGGCATTGCGTGAGGTGTCAATGCTAACGCGTGCCTCAACTGCCGTTTAAGTGGCCCCACGCATATTCATGACTTGTCTCTCGACCAGAATGTCTTGGACACGACGACAACTCCGCCCGTTGCGGGATTTACGCCCACGTGCATTTGTTACGAAAATGAGGCTGCCCTGACAGATGCCAGGATAATGTTGAGGCATAGAGCCAGGCAAGCAGTTGTCCTTGAAGGTAATGCGGACACGAAGTCGCTTCTGGCATTATGATCTCTGAAAACGTCTGGTGACTGTACTAGTAAATAAGTGAGACGTCTACTATTTTTGAATAGTCAGAATTTTTTTGTCCATCATTAAATCACTAAAACGAAGAATCACGAATCTTTACATCAAACACGGAAACTAGCGCACTCTATTAAGAGGTGTCGTGTTTCTCTAGGGCAAGTCGTGGGCTCAATCCCTGTTCGTTACGACGGCCTTTCAATGGACGTGGAGAAGTCCGACGTCCAAGTGCCCTCATTTAAACACGCGCTAGAACTACGTCTGCAGCGCATCTCTTAGCGCTTAGGCGTGCCTCCGAAATACAAAGTCATTGTTTTGAATCCATTAATCTTAATGCTGTGATTAGAGTTGGCTGATTCAAGAATATTTATTTACAAAATTTATCGATAAAATGTGCAACTGAAAGTAGTCACCGAAGAAGTACAAGCTGAGCTACTTTGAAAGTGTTTGTTGTTGTTGTTGTTGTTGTTGTTGTTGGCTAGATTAGTTAATTTTGATGGGCTAACGAGCGAATACACAGTCTTTGTCCAGCCATGCGCAGGCTCGCAGTTGATATTTCATATCAGTAAGAAGTGTCATGTCATCCTTGCTTTATTCGCATTGTGTTTAGCTAACCATCGATTTTATAATTGCTTAATAATAATAATTACTAATAGGGTTTCACGTCCAAGAACCCCTATTCCAAAACTGTTCAGGGGCCCGCCCATAGCTGCCGCATTTTCGATGGAGGCAGAAATTGTCGGGGACCGTGTGCTTAGATTTAGGTGCAGGTTAGAGAAACCCAGGTGGTCCAAATTTTCAGAACCCTTCAATACGGCGTCTCTCATAATGGTATCATGGTTTTGGGACGTTAAACCCCATCAATTATCATTAATAAACTGGCGAGTGGCTGAGTTAGCAGTACTCATTGAACTAAATACGTTTCAAATGCGTATATATACTATACATGCACTACAATTTTTGGCAGCGGTTTTCTAGACGTGGGAACTCTTGAGTTTGACTGAATTTTCGTGTTATGCATAGGAAGAGTCATGTGGGCACAGGTAAGTAATGAACGATTTTTTTTTACTTCAGAAGATGTGCATCGTCAGTCCCTCAGTGTACTGCGTCTAAAGCCGGCTGTGGTGCATGCCTTAAACGACCAACCTATCAGTATTACGAAATTTACTGTTTCTTGTGCCTTAGGTGAACACGTTTGGCCACGTTGTCTTAATTAGAAATTTTTAGAGCACAATTTCGGTCGTGAAATTCAGCCAGGCATGTTTTTGGTGCAGCACGTTTAATAGCTCGCCTATCTTACCACAGTTTATTGGCTCAAAAAGACACTCCAGCCAGGCATAATGCCGCTGTCTTCCTTACCACCACCCCCTCCCACCACAGTCGAATTAAATATGTAGGCACCTTCCTCTTACAAACTCACTTCTTCTATGCACCACAGAGAACAAGTTCACACAAAGCAGAAATACATTGGGCAAAGTATGTTTTGTTCAGCAATACCATCTACTAACATGAAGAATATCTATAAGTGATTGCCGTTGTTCTGATCAACGTTTTGGTGCTGCTTGCCAAAATCATTAGCTTTGTTTCTTGCGTGAATCTATAGGTTTTTTGGCCAACCGTGTTAGAAGAGGAAGGCGTTCAAGTTCAGATATGTGCCAAAATACAGATTAGGCAATTACCTAATGTACGTAATATCCTTTTTTTACATTCAAAAGTATCACCCCGATATAATTTGAATAGGTCACCTGACAACTCTCCGCTATTAGGTTATACCTAAACAAATTTATTACCTAAATTCGGAAGGACAGTTCGGGCGTTCGTTGCCACATTGCCAGTTGACCGCGATGCCAAGTGGTTTCTTTTATTTTTATTTGCTATCTAGATGTGGCACCAGTTCTGTTATTTAATATATTCGTAATTGAATCATTGATGCTAATGAAGGACACTTGTGGACGGTGCAACTCCGCAGGGAACAATACAGACAAAACGGGCATAGTATTTGAATGAGAAAAAAAAAGAATGGAGCGGTATCTCCTTCCATTTGGATCTGTATGCCCGCTTTTTTTCCTAAAGCGATATACTTCACATGTACACCTATTGTGTGCGTGGCCTTCTCTCTACACTGCTTATCTCTGCCGATTTGCAGGAACCCGTTAGCAGATCAGTATGGACGTCAAGCCTCCGCTGCATTGGTAGATATATGTATGATGGCTTCCACGCATTTCGAGTCAGCCAGTCGTTGAAGATTAGAACAGCTATGCGGGCACAAGTTTGGCCCGTCGTCTTTTTGTCCTGACGCCATTTATTGGTTTATTCTTGAGCGTCGACGAAAGGAACTTGGCGCCTGGGTTCGTTCTGTGGGGGGGGGGGGGGGGCCTTCATCATTCGCAGAGATAGAAACACCTTGCTGGCCATTTATTTATTTTCAGAAGACGAAGAATAGACTTGATGTGCCTGATTTCTTTTTTATTTATATTTGGCACAATATGGGAAGGTAGGCTACGCAAGAGTCAGCTATCCCAACACTATGGCAGTAATGTACAGGATAAAAACCTAAGCAAGAAAAATTAAGAATAAACTAGAAAAAACTAATCACAGGCAATATGTACATACTATATACCTTATAGGGCTTATAATGCATGAATCTGCACAGAATCTATGATCATAGTCCAGTTCGTATATTGGCATCACATTGCTGATAGAGTCCGTAGAAATAGCGGTAAGGTATAATATGAACTAAAGATCTTCTTTTCCTGCAAGTGCTGCTTTGACTATTTTATTTAAAATAAGAACGTTCGTTGCACTAAAAAAGGGAACAGTTGTAGTCTAAAACGTGAACAAAGTGGCCTCTCCCATGAATGCGTGTTCGTCTCCATCTTCTACTGCGGAACTCTACCAATGTGGGCGTGGCTAATTGAGTTGTTTTTGCGAGATGCACGCAAACACTCCACCAGCAGCAACTGAAGATGACGCGCCAACGCCTATACCACAATGCCGCATGTTAATGGGCACACAGACGTTTTCGAGTCCTTTACTTCTCGCGTGAAGATGCCACAACACTGCGTTCCATGAACTTGCTTACAGAAGCAACTGCGAGAATGATGCTACAGGCGTCAGTCGCGTATAGACAGAAATTTATTTCGGGGGGAGGAAGGCAAGGTGCTGGGGGGGGGGGGGGCAGGATCACGAAGGCAAGTTGGGTTGAGCGTCACTTCGTGCTCCGTGTCCCACGACCAAGTGAAATTTTGGTAGAGGCACCTGCCTGTTGTGCCACCTCCTGGCTACGACTGCACGCGGCATGCATTCTCTGATCCATGGTTACTGCATTCTGGGTGCGACCAGGCCAGTGAACAACATGCAACAGGCGACACCAACCAATGTGGGCTCATTTCGGTCTTTCAAGGTTATTTTTCTTTCTTTATTTTCTTTTTCCTTAATGTCTGCTGATTCTGTTAACAACAAAGGGCAAAGGTATATATGAACTATGGAAGAACGTGCCAAAATTGTCGTTTACGCCATCTAGCACGGAGCTGTCTGCTTTCGAGAGCATTGCTCTGACGAATGCACGACCATAGCAAGGCTCTCGACAGCAGACGGCTCACTACTATACACAAACGTCAGTTTCGGCACATGCTCCCGTGATCCATATATTTTTGCTCTCGAGTGTACGCACTATCCTTCCTGACAATGGCGCGTCAAGTCTATGTGCCCGGCGCCCCACGTTGCAAGTGGCACTTGACATAAACTAGTGCAGGCTAATCTTCATCACGTAATCAAGCCACATCATGTCGATCACACTGCCACGCTTTTTAGTGAAATGTAAATAATGAATCACGGGGGGGACTCGCGAAGCTAGGCAGATGTGCTGGACTGTGAAAACTGGCGATGACCTGAATCCTTGGTGGCTGAAGGCAATTGTCAATGGAGTCGAGACAGCTTCTAATAATATTGATATCGGAAAGACTGCAGTGCCTTAGCCAATGTTAATAGCAACTTCTCGATCGGGAAGACTATAAAAAACAACTGAAAACATCCAAGATGTTGATTGATTGATTTGATTTGTGGGGTTTAACGTCCCAAAACCACGATATGATTATAAGAGATGCCGTAGGGGAGGGCTCCGGAAATTTCGACCACCTGGGGTTCTTGAACGTGCACCCACATCTGAGCACATGGGCCTACAACATTTCCGCCTCCATCGGAAATGCAGCCGCCGCAGCCGGGATTCGATCCCGCGACCCGCTGGTCAGCAGCCGAATACCTTAGCCACTAGACCACCAAACAATCAAGATGTTATTCAACAAAAGAAGCTGCTCCGAGGAAGTTGTCGATGTCTGAAAAAACGATAAGCAGACCGTCTGTGACATAAATGTTAACCCATTGAAAACAGCTGTCAACAATTAGTGAGCTCAACGCCACTCAATTTCATTCAAAAAGGCATATAAGGTGTGGTGTTGGCAACCATCAAATTGTTCATGATAATAGGTGGTTGCTGAAAGGAGCAGAGCAAAGAAGATCAAGCTTACAAAATATTATCGTCGCACCGTGAAGCGCTCAAACTCCTGGAAATCTGTGGGTGGATCACCACTAAAAACCACGTGATGTTATTTAGTGCAAGGTAAACACAGCATGGGCGTCAGTTTGCTTCCTACTTATGGGCACCACCTGAACTGGTGATGCCTATGGAGTATCGAGAGATGATGCCGAATGGTATCGTATGTTGGCACTCTTCACAAATGATCTGGAGCTTTTCAGGGACGAAGCCCTTTTGGGCCGAGCCTTGTTGTCGTCCACATCCGTCATGCTCTAGAAAACCGCAACTGAACATCTGCACAACAAAACAAAAAAAAACGAAAACACCTACGCAAGAAAACCGACTTTATGTGTGAATCAATCAAGTATATCGCAGCACAATACATGACCACCTGCGACGTCCATCCATTCGTCCATCCGTCTGTCCTTTGTACTAGTTGGCGACTCAAACGTAGACGTTATGAACCTTAGGACTTAACTTCGCCCACTCGTAATCATTCACTTCGCGGGGATACGTGGATTTTTCGGAGCTGATATACGGTAGCTGAAATGAACTGAATACGTGACGATGTGCTGACATGCGTCATATTGCAGCAGTTTCGTTCAGTATAGTACTCGCATCAAGGTGCTAAACTCGCTCAGTAGCCCCTCAGATGGCTGTTCCGTCATGGAAATCGGCGTTTTGTTGATATGACAGAAGCACGTGTCACATCGTTTGACACGGGATTCCGTAGCTGTGCAAGTACTATTGTTCGATAAGGGCATGCTGAACGTCCTCGTCCAGGAAAATCAAGCGGAAAGCTTTTTTCTAAGGCAAAGGTTTTTTTCTTGTCGGAGCGCGAGGAGAATTGTAAAATCCTACATAGTACCACTGGCGGCTTTAGAAAACGACATAATTTTTGTTTTTGCTGTAAGCAAAAAAAAAAGATAACGTTCGTATGCTTTCACGTCTGCTTCTGTATACCAAATATAAATAAATCTGTTCATTACGTGGATAAATATTTGCGAACATTTCCGATCAAGAATGTTCGTTCTCATTGGCTCACCGCGCTCGCATGTAATTTCTGTCATAACGAAGTGCTGCAGTTTGTTGTTGCTAATAATTCTTTCGCAGCACCGTTCTTTGATTACAATATTTGAAGTATAAAGTAAAAAAAATACGATGCGCTTGCGGCTGATACAACAAAGCCGCTTCCTTTTTCTTACGACCATCGGGGGTGTTACAGCTATAGTTCTTCTACTGAAACACTGCGAAAACAGACTAGATGGAAAAGAAAAAAAACATGAAACGTCTCCTTTGGATCATATTTCTTTCATTGCAATAGGAATTATACCAACTTATCAAACACATTTCTGCAACCGGAGTAAATCCCACATGAATAAGGATATAAACTCCACATCGATAACACGACCCCACGCGTTGTATGTTTTTTGTGCGAGGGTACGTGCGGGAGCGCTGTCAACGACTTTTTTAGGCGCTCATGAAATGAAACGCTTGTCTCCGTCAAGC